GACACTCCCATCCCAATTACCCCAGTCACTGAATCAGCCCACCTCAGAGAGGGCCTTCCCTTCCTGTTCTGTTCCTCCACCCTCCCAAGCATGATGTCCTTCTCCAAGGACCGGTCTCTCATAACATGTCCAAAGTATGGAGCTTCAGAATCCTTGCCTCTGAGGAGCCACCTGGTTTAAATCTGGTTGAATCTGTTTGTTTTCCTAGCAGTCCATGGTACTCTCAAGAACAGCATGGTAAAAAGTGTGTGTATTCTTTTCCATACCTATTCGATCTGTATGTTGAGTAAATAAATTAAAAGCTTGATTCTGAAGAAGAGTGGCATCAGGATAGGAATGAGGAAGACTCAGCAACATTTACTTGTTGAAAATGAGGAAGATTTGAAGCGATTACATGAAAAGATCAAGGACTATAGCCTTCAATATGGATTACATCTCAGTATCAAGAAGGCAGACTTGACATACTATGAGCAACAGGCACTGGACTAATAGGCAACATCATAACAGATGGGGAAAAGATTGAAATTGCCAATGTCATCTATTTCATCTTACTTTTTGGATCCATAAGCAACACCTTGGTATCAGCAATCCAGAAGTCAGATGATGTGTTAGGAAAGTCTGTTGTCATTGACCTCTCCAAAATACTAAGCAACAATGATGTTAAAGACTAAGGTGCACTTGCTTCAGGCCCTGGACATTTTCCTTCACTTGCTATACATATGAGAGCTAAATAATGAATAAGGACAACACAGGAAGAATCATTGCCTTTGAGTTTGTTGAAGAAAAGTATTGAATATTCCATGGAAACAACAGAGCAGACAGTGCTTACACAAGATACAGCCAGAGTGTTCCTTGGAGGCAAAGATAATAAAGCTTCATCTCATGTACTTTGACATGTGTTTAAGAGGAGGACCCATTTTTTGGAAAGAGGCATCATCCTTGGAATGGTGGAGAGTCAGCTTAAGAGAGGAAGACCTTCAATGTGATTATTTCTGTTAAGTTTTTCCAGGTTCAAGAAAAATCTTTGGCTATTCTTTTAGCAGTATACTGTTGATGAGTTCATATAGTTTATAATTACATACATAAACAGTTATTGCTATGTGTCATTGAATTGACTACATAGAGACAGACCCTAGGAATAATAGCACTGAATCTTGTCCTATCCTGAGCCAGTTTCATTGTTTCTTATGCAGTCTTTGTGGTCCCTATGTCATAGTCATTGTGTCCTCATCAGATTTTTCCTCTCTTGCACTGACCCTCTACCCTTCTAAACATAAAGTCCTTCTCTAAGGAGTGGTCCCTCCTGGCAACATGCCCAAAGAATTTGAGACAGAGTTTCAAAATCCATGCCTTCAAGAAGCAACTTGATTTCACCCTCTCTAGGATGTAATCTCTTCTCTTGGAAGTTCATGATATGTTCACTGCTCTTCTTCAGCACCACAACTCAAAGACGTCAAGTCGTCTTCTGTCTTCCTTAGTCATTGTCCAGGTCTCAGATGCACAGCAAGGGATTGAGAAGACCATGACCTGGATCATGCACACTTTAGTCTCTAGACTGACATCTTTGTGCTGTAGCACTCTAAAAAGGTCCTTGACAGCTTACTTTCCTAAAGCAACTCATCTTCTAAGAAAAATATATAAATGTTTTCTTTTTAATAAGCTTCTTGGTCTCTTTGTCTCACCATGGAATAATCTAAAAGAAAAGCATGATGAGTCTTTGCATATATCTGACAAACGAGAGATTCAGAGTAAATAAGACAAGATAGAGATTTATAGATATGCCAGAATACTTCCAATATCATGTCTCTCCTTTGACAGCTGGGACAGGGAAGGATGGAGAGATGGAATAATTAGAAGGTACCATTGTCATAACTTTGGTTACTGTTTCTGATAGCCACATCTACTACAGAGACTTCCTAATGAGTTCTCTTCCCATGCATCTAGTCACATGACCTCACCTCCTCCAAATACCTTGGGCCTCCAACTGAGCATCAGCTATAGCTTAAAGTCAGGTTTGAACAGTCTTTGATAATTGCTATGTGGAATGTATAAAGTAAGAATGTACGAAAACTAGAAGTTGTAAAAAATGGAATGAAATTCATCAACATTGACATTCTAGGCATTAGTGAGATGAGATGGACTTGTATTGGCCAATTTGAATCAGACAGTCTTGTTATACATTATGTTGGGGATGAAAAATAGGAGGAATACTGTTCTATGCATATTTTGCATTAAATTTTCTAGTTATGTCTTGAAGTACAATGTTACGAGCAAATGGATGCATGCTATCCATAAGAATACAAAGACTTATTCATATGACTGTTATTCAGATATGTGGACCAACAACTAAAACTGAAGAGGAGGAAATTGAAATATTTTACCAAATTTTGCAGACCAGAATAGATAAAACATGCAGTTAAAATGTGTTAATAATAATTGGTGACTGAAATGCAAAAGTTTGACAAAAGAAGGAATGGTAGTTGGAAAGTACAGACTTGGTGACTGAAATGAGGCCAGAAATTGAATGATCATATTTTGTATGTTCAAGGTAAGTACCTTTTTTAAGAACAAAAGGTGACTTTTCACTTGGGCTCCACCTGATGGACTGCATAGTTGTCAGATTGACTCCATCTGTGGAAGGAATTAGAGAAAATATCAGCAGTCAGAGATATACCAGTTTCTGACTGTGGAACACAGACCATAAATTATTCATGTGCAAACTCAAATTGAGTTTGAAGAAAATTAGAAGAGGCCTGCAAGAACCAAAATAGGACCTTGAGTCTATCCCACCTGAATTTAAAAGTCATCTTAAAAATAGGTTTAAGGCATTGAACATTAGTGATCAACGACCAGGTAAGTTATGGGATAGTATCAAGAATATCATGAAAGCAAAAGGTCATTAAAAAGACATAGACAATTAAAAAGCAAAATGGATGTTAGAAGATACTTTGAAAATGGCACTAGATTGTTGAGAATCCAAAACAAAGGGATACAGAAGTAAAAGAACTGAAAAGGTTTCAGAGGGCAGCTTGAGAAGACAAAGCAGAGGACTATAACGGAATGTGTAGAGAACTCGAATTGTAAAGTAAAAAAGGAAGAACTCACTTTGCATTTCTCAGGCTAGAAGAACGGAAAAGGAAATTAAAGCCTTGAGTTGTATACTTGGAAGCATTAAAAGAAGATGGAACACACAGAGTCATGGTACCAAAACAAATTGACCCTAAAAAAATTTTCAGAAGTGCTAAATAATCTAGAGGCAAAGGAAGAAGTTTAATCTGCACTGAATTTATTGTCAAAAAATAAGGTCCCAGAAATCAGTGGGACAGGTGACATGTTCCAATTAACTGATGCAGCCCTGGACATACTTAGCAGTCTGTACAAGAAAATTTTTAGGACCACTGCCTGAACAACTGATAAGAGATCCATATTTGTTCCCATCCTCGAGATAGGTGATCCAACAAAATGTGGCCATTTTAGAATAGTATCATTAGTATCACATACAAGAAAATTATTGCTGAAGATCATTCCCCAGCCAGGGGATCTCCTACAAATGTATAGGTAGTGGGTAGCCTAGAGGCTTAAGCAGTGGCCCACACGGTAGAGCTCAGGTCTGGTGACTATGCAAGCCCCCACCTGTACTCCACTGCTGCTATCACTGTCCCCTTGTATCCCTGTGCTCACCTATCTCCAGCTGTCCTCTGCCCCTGGACCACCCTCAATGAACAGCCCAGTAGTGTACCACTGAACTAATGCATTTACTTCATCTGAAAATGTTTTTCATGGATATAAATTCTAAATTGGCGGTACTTTAGCACTTAAAAATGTTCTCCAGTTTTATGTAATTTCTTTTTGGATACTTTCAAGATACTTCCTCTTTTTTTTTTTTTTTCCATTTTCAGGAGTTTAATTTTGATGTGTCTGAGTTTGGGAGTTTATCTTGCTTAGGTTACCTTTTTCACAGTGGATTTTTGGTTTTATTCCAAATTTGAGAATTTTTCTGCCCTATTTGTATAGTATTTCTCTCTTTTTTCTTATAAAATACTGGTATTATGAATAGTAGGTGTTTTTAATGTCGTGGATGTTCTAAATAGTGTGAGGTTCCATGTCATATTTAAAATCTTACATTCTTATTTTTCTCTTTAATACTATGACACCTATGGTGTATCCTTCCTTCTTTACCTAAATAGCATAGTTTTTCTTGGGGCTTTTGGTATCTGTGCCTATTTACACTTCTAGCTTGATAACTTCTCCAGAGCTGGCAAGAGAATGTACTGTTTCACCATTCAGTTGGTCTTGTAGTAGTCCCTTGTTGGCCTTTTTCCCCCTCTTTTTCAGAGTATTCACAAATTTTTTATTTTACATAATGTTAAATCTTTTACCTGCACGTAGCAAGAGGAATAAAGAGAAGCCTATATACTCTTGGATAGAGTTGTTAAATGTGTATTTTACTTTCATTTTAATAGACTGGAATTTTTTTTTTAGGTCTTTTAGATTAATCTTGGAGAATTAATATTTTAAAACCTAGGAATACTTTAGATTTTGCACATTTTATATGCACTCTAATGATCACATTTTTACAGGGTTTTTTAGTGTATATTAAAAAACATTCTATAGGTATACCATTGATGACATATTTTTGGTTTTTATTTACCTTTTATAATGTTAATGTAGTATGGTTTTGACTATAGACACTTGGTACATTGTGTATCACAGAAATCTTTTGCCATTTTAATATATTATTTTCTTTTTCCCATCAGGGCTGGTGGATTAGGCCTCAATTTTGTTGGTGCTAGTGTTGTTGTATTATTTGACCCAACTTGGAATCCAGCCAATGATCTTCAAGCCATTGATAGGTATAAAATGGAAAAATACTTAATGTAATGTAGAAAAAAGAAAATAGCATAAAATGTGACTGTTCGATTCTTATTTTGTAACTTACTCTGAATTGATGCTTTGCACATTTTGTTCTCATTAACTAGTTGGGATCTTTGTCTAATTTCATGAAGTGTCATTGCACTGGAACCTGAAAGGTTTTATTTATAATCATTCTTACAGAGTTTATTGAGTTGTTAAAGTTATCCTTTAAATTTGACAAGAACTGTATAAATTATATTGCAGATTAAAAAAAAAGAAATACTTCTTATCTCAATGTGCTGTTAAGATATGTGGGTTGTTTATTGGATATCTACAATTAGAAAACCAGGAAATATTCTTGTTAAATAACTCTGAATTTCTGAATCCAGAAGTGGGCTATGGAGGCGTAGTCCTTTAGGACATTGCACTACTAACCCAAAGACCATGCCCCTCTGGCAGTTCAAATCTGCCAGTGGCTTCTTGGGTGAAATATAGGCAGTCTCATCCTGTGCAATTTGCAGTCCCTGAAAACCCACTGGATGGTCAGTTCCTATGAGTCAGTTCCTACTCAATAGCAATGAATTTTTGAGTTTCAGAATTTAAATAGCAAAATAGCCATAGAATTCACTGTAAAGGATAGTAAGTAACCAAAGCCATCACATTGCCAATTCTGACTCAGAATGATCCATATTGCAGAGAAAAACTGCTGACAGGGTTTCCAAGGTTGTATTCTTCATAGAGGGAGACTGCCACATATTTTTCCCATAAAGCAGCTAGTCTTTTCAAAATGCTGAACTTTTGGTTAGCAGCCAAGCACTTTAATCATTCCATAGGAAGACTCCTTAATGGAGTCAAGAATAATATTATCTATCAGGAAGATATGCAGAGTATATTATCCGAGAGGCTGGTCTCTATGAGGAGAAGTGTGGCGTCAGGATTGGTGGAAGATCTATCAACAATCTGTGTTATGCAGATGACACAGCCCTGCTTGCTGAAACTGAGGAGGACCTCTTGCATTTGCTGCAGAGGGTCAAGGACTGCAGCCTTCAGTATGGACTGAGGCTCAATGTCAAGAAGACAAAGATTCTCACCACTGGAACAATTGGTATCATCAGGATGGATGCCGAAGAGATTGAAATTATTCACAGCTTCAGTTTGCTCAGCTCCACGGTCAACACTCTTGGCACCAGTAACCAGGAAATAAAAAAACGTATTGGGATGGGAAAGTCTGCTGTTAGGGACCTCTCTAAAGTACTCAAGAGCAACGGTGTCTCTCTGGAGACCAAGGTGCGTCTGATACAGGCCATGGTTTTTGCAATTACTTGTTATGCATCAGAGAGTTGGACAGTGACTAGGGAGAATAGAAGGAGAATTGATGCCTTTGAACTGTGGTGCTGGAGAAGAGTATTGAATGTATCATGGACTGCCAAGAAAATAGATTCATCCTGGAGAGGGTTAAACCAGGCTACTCCTTGGAGGCAAGGATTCTGGGGCTTCATGTGACATACTTTGGACATGTTGTAAGGAGAGACAGGTCCTTGGAGAGGGACATCATGCTTGAGAGGGCGGAGGGACAGCGCAGGAGGGGAAGACCCTCTGAGGTGGGTTGATTTAGTGACTGTGGTAATCGGGATGGGTGTTTCAGAGGCAGTGCAATTGGCACAGGATAGAGCAGGGTTTAGGGCTGTTGTACATAGGGTCGCTATGAGTCGCAGGTGACTCGATGGCACATAACAACATCAGGAAGATATAACAGTAATACTAGAACTCATATAATATGAGGACAAAGAACACAAATACACAATCAAAATCAAGTTTAATATACTTTAAAAATTCAGTTGATTTCTTAGATAAAGTAGGTACATTAATTATTGGAATAATACCATTATTCAGCTTAATTTAAAGACTATGTGAATGTGTCTATAAAGAATTTTTATGTGCTCTTGAGTCAGAACTCAAACATAACTGACTCCAGTAGATTTTCACAGGCTTTAAATCATATAGAAGGAGGTGGATTCGTGCCTTTAGGCTGCTTTTATCACTAAACTATTACATAAATGTGTCAAGAGAGAATAGTCTTTTCAAACATTGATAGAGCGTTTATTTAAACCAAAAATGTTATGTTAAGGTTTACAAGGAGTTGGTTTTCTTTCATTCATGCACATTTTCCTTTCTCCTCTTACCCAGTTTCCTTTGTCGTGCTTGTCCTATTACAGCATGATAATTATCATAGGCATTTTTCCTAATTGTATATTCCTTTCAGTATTGTCCTTCCTTTCACCCACTCCAGTGCAGTCTTCATCATCCATTCTTTTCCTATTTCCTCCACCGAGTCTCGATCTTATTAGTACATTAGTGGGCTTATACAGGTTTTGTCCCTTTGTGACAGAAATATTTCATTCAGCATAATGTCTTCCAGATGCATCCATGTTGTGTTTTATGAATTCATTGTTGATATTGAGTAATTGTTCATTGTGTGAATTTACTACACTTAGGCTCCTTCCATATCTTTGCTGGATAATACTATGATATATTAGTGTACATAAAGTGTACGTAGATATATAAGTGTACATATATGTATTTGTATCGCAGCTCTGATTTCTTTGTGATATATTCCCAATGATGGGATAGCTGGGTCAAATGGTATTTATTTTTCCAACTTTATAAGAAAGTGCCAGACTACCTTCCCTAGTTGGTTATACCATTTTGCATTCCCACCAGCAGTGTATGATACTCTTGAATACTATAGAGTCAGGACCCTTTGATGGAATTTTTAAAAGCAGTTAATCGCATGGAGAAAATTGCCCATCCTTCTCCCGTTGAGCAGCTAGTGGCCTACACTATGTGCCTTTGGAATTGCAGTGTGGCTTCGTGTCACCTGGTCACCAGTGCTCTCTACAATCTCATCAATATTTGTTGTTTGTTGTCTTGTTGAACTATGCTATTATTATGATGATGAGATGACATTTCACTATTGTTGACTTTCAAGCATAGTTTAGAAGGTACTATGGCTCCAGGGATATCATGGCAGATATCAGATAGATCCTGGCTGAAAGCAGAGAGTACCAATCTGTTTATGTTTTGTTGACTATGAAAAGGCATTTGATGGTGTGGATCATAAGTAATTATGCACTTAGTTGTGTTCACGAGAAATCTATACTTAGATAAAGAAGCTATTGTCCTAAATAGAGCAAGGGAAGAGTGTGTGGTTTAAAATCAGGAGTGATATGTTTGAAGAATATTTCTCTGTACCTATTCAGTCTGTTTGTTGAGCAGATAATTTGTGAAGCTGAAATCTGTGGAGAGGAATGTGGTATCATTATTGGAGGAATGCACATCAGCAACCTGCATTATGCAGATGACACAACCTTGCTTCTCTGCTGAAAGTAAGGAGGAAATGAAACACTTGTTGCAGAAGATAAGAACTGTATAGCCTTTGGTGTGAATTGCATCTCAATGCCAAGAAAACAAAGAGGTCTATACCACAGCACCAATAGTCAACATCATGAAAGATGGAGAAAGGAATGAAGGTGTTAATGAATTCATCTTGCTTGGATCAACTGTCAATGCCTTTGGTATTAGCAGTCAGGAAATGAGGAGACCTATTGCATTAGGCAATTCTACTTTCAGCAACCTCTCCAAAATACTTTAAAGCAATGTCAGTTTGAAGACTAAAGCACTTCTGGTTCTTCTCAATCACTTTGATCATCAGAGAACTGCAGAATGAATAATGATGATAGAAGAATTGATGCTTTTGAGTTCTGTTGGGAAAGAATAAGTACTGAGTATTTCATAGAGTGTGAAGAGAACAAACAGCTACGTCTTGGAGAAAGTGCAGCCACATTTTAGAAGTTTCATCTCTTGTACTTGGACATGTAGCTAGGTGAGGATATTCCTTGGAAAGGGACATCTTGGAAATATGGAGGGTCAGCGAAGGAGAAGATGCCCAGTGAGATGAACTGACAGACACAGTGACTGCAGCAGTCGGCTCCAGTATGTCAGAGATGATGAGGAGATGCCACAGAACGTGGTTCATATCTGTTCTTCATAGGATCACTATGAGTCATAGCCATCCTGATGACACCTAACAAGAACAGTAGTTAGTAATTTTGAGCTATTTTCATGAGTTTCCTGGCCATCTGACTTTCTTTGGTAAAGCTTCTATTTATTTGTGATTTGGTTGTCTTTTTCTTGTTGATATACTGAAGTAGTCTATTAATTTTAATTATGAGTCCCTCACTAGATATATCATTGTCAAATATTTTTCCAGTCTGTTGGTTTCTTTTCCCTTCTATTAAAGAAGTACTTTGATGCACTTAAGGATTTGATTTTTAAAAGGTCCCAGGGATGTGTTCTTTCTCCTTACCTTTTCAATCTCTATGTAGAACAGATCAACTGGGAGGCTGGACTCTATAAGGAGTGTGGCATCAGGATTGGAGGAAGACTCATCAACAGCCTGCATTATACAGATGACACAATCCTGCTTGCTGAAACTGAGGAGGACCTGAAGTGCTTGCTGCAGAAGTATTGCAGCCTTAAATATGGATTGACCTCAACATCAAGAAAACAAAGATTCTCACCAGTGGGCTGATTGGCAGCATTATGACAAGATGGTGAAGAGGTTGAGATAGTCAGCAGCTTTAGTTTGCTTGGCTCCGCAATTAGCACTCTTTTTACCAGCAGCAAGGAAATCAAAAGACAAATTGCACAGGGAAAGTCTGCTGTCAGGGATGTCTCCAGACTACAAAAGAGCAATGAGGTCAGACTAAGGAGTGCATGATCTGGGCCATAGTCTTCGCAGTTACTTGTTATGCATCAGAAAGCTGGACTGTGACTAGGGATGCTAGAAAGAGAGTTGATTGCTTTGAGCTATGGTGCTGAAGAGTATTGAATACTGTGGAGAAGAGTATTGAATATACCATGGACTGCCAGGAGAAAAACAGGTTTGTCCTAGAGAGGATGAAACTAGCCTGCTCTTTGGAAGCAAGGATTCTGAAGC